TCTGGCGGAGCTTCTTCCAAGCCTCACAACGCCTGTAGCAGCCTACACTGTCGGCTGAGAAGCCAGAACTACCATGTAGACCCGTTGAACGTCTCTCTACTGAAGCCACTGGTGTGTCCACTAACGGTAGAGGTAGATCTCAAAGCTGCTGGTGCCTACACTAGTGCCCACCGGGTCGAAACCGATGTAGATACGTGTCTAGACGGCCATTGGTTGCCGGTTCGCACACGAAGAAGGGCTGGCCGCCTACATGGCAGCCGCCGTACAATTTAACCACATATGGGTGGTTCAGTCGACACCAGATACTCAATTCTCGATAAAACACAGCACTAGGCTGAGCAGCCAGTGGGTTAAATGACACAGGTGTGAGTTTCTTGATGACGACGGGTGTACCGAGCCACGTTCCAGAATGAACCCAGGCAAACGCACCCTGACCCAGAGACTCCCGTGGGTTAAATTCGACTTCGTACGGCGGGATAAACCATTTCGGTGGTCGCCACAGGTGGCGCGAGATATCCCAACACGCAGAGCCCATGGCTTCCACTTGTGCCGGTGTGTAGCTAGAGCGATGGCGAGTGACCTCGAACCGTAGCAACGCGAGAATTTCTTCCCGGTCGTGGGCATCTTTGAGCTCGTCCAGCAGTAACTCGGCCGCGTCTGGGTTCATCAGCGTCCACGTGCAGCTCAGCGTCCGTCGCGCTCGATGTGACTACCATTGGCCTTTCCAGTCGTGCAGGTCTTCCTTCTCCGCCGACAAACACTCATACGAGTGCAGTGCGTCGAGTAAATCGTCCAGGTCTTTATGGAACGAAAACTTGTCGGTGGTGCGCTGGCGAGTGGCCGCGATCTGCGTGATGCGGCTGCCAGTGCCGCCGACGCTCACGTGAAGCCTGAACTGCGTCAAAATATCCACGAAACTGGTCACGATAGCAGGAAACGCGCTGGTCTCGTCGCTGTCTTGGTCCAAATCGGCCTCGACACGACACAAACGCGCGAAGAAATCTTCCATTCGGAGCAGAATCTGGGCGTCCAAGTCGCCGTTGCTCGCCTCGATAGCGTCATCGTGGCTTTGGATCTGCTCCTTTAACGTCTCGAACGACTGCGAGATCGTCAAAGGCGAGTCCCCTGGTACGTGTAGCTCTACGTCTACTACATGTAGTTGTGTCGACTCGCTTGCAGTGTTCGAACGCCCGTCACTCGCTGTATCCATCTCCCCCGACTCGCGTTGACCTGATTGTCGCTCCCTGTTCGCCAGTTGACCGAGCTGCTGCACCACGTACGAGACTGACGGACGTAGCTCTGGCTGCCACGCGCACATTCTCTTGACCAGTTCCCACGCTTCATGCTCGAATGGATCCGGTCTCTGCTCTAAGAGCGACTGGTCCACCAGCTCGTCACTCTCTAGAGTGTTGCGTAAAACTGCCTCAACAATGACCACACCGAAGCTGTAGATATCCGACGCCTTCCTCTACGCTCGGGAGCTAGCCACCGTGCGTCATTATCAGCCGACGTCCGCAAGACCCCGCGGGTCACGTAGAGGTACAAAGTGCAGTCCGTTGAGCTTGGCCAGCTCCTGCTTCGAGCTTTTAAGTCCAAGATACCGCCTCGTTTTCCTCCCGCGGCGTCTTCTATTGGTCGTTTTCTCCACCACAACGACGATGCTGTCGCTACGAAGCTCGTTGTGCACAATCTCGCGCTCATGAAGATACTGCAGACCCAACGCAGCCTCGTACAGTAGTCGCCACAACGGTGGCGTGTATTTCGTACCATCCGGGTACCGTGACAGGAACTCCATCAACGAGCCTCCACGAGCGCGTTCAAACACGAAAAACGGGCTGGAGCCAACGTGACACGCTCCGAACAGCTCCACTATGTGCGGATGAACGAGCTCCGACCAAATGGCTGCCTGTCGTACAACCACTTCACTTAAATCCCCACCATCCGAAGCGTGTTGTGGCTCTTGGATCGCAACGCGAACGCCTTCCCACCAA